ATTATAAGTACAAGTACTCTTAGATTGATGAAAAAATAGGTTTTGCATAACAATACTAAGAAAAACTTCACAGAGGAGGTGATATTTGATCTGGGACTTTGAGAATATGGGCAGAAATTCATACCTGGCAGACAAAGACAGTCATTTTAAACCTGAGTGTTAGGAGCAAAAGCATGGAGGTATTAAAATAGAAGATACCATCCCAAGTCTGGAGTCTGGTTTGGTTAGCCGCTAACCATATTGTGGAGATCATGGTCTGGAAATGACTTAGAAATTAGTATGAAAAGGCAAAGTGGATTCAAGTTGATACACATCTGAGCCATGCAAATAAGTTTAGGGTTGAAGAAAAAAATTTTTTTTCCCTCCTTCCCTTTCTGATTCTGGGATTGAACTCAGGGTCTTGCATAAGCTAGGCAAGTGTTCTACTACTGAGTTACACCCCTTCCCCCAGTCCTCTTTTATTGTTGTTGAAGGATTTTAAGCAAAAGAATAACCTCATGATAGACTGCTTTCTGGAATGGAATTTGGATTCAACTGAGCTATAGGGAGCCCAGTTAGGGAGGCTCTTTCAATTGTCTGGCCTACAGATTGGTCTGAGACAGAGCAGGAAAATAGGAGGGCTCTTTGTATCACCTTGGCCCAATGTATACTATCCTTAAACATCCTGAGGGTCTATTTGTAAATGAGCAACCTCCTTAAGTTACATGACTTGGGGATGGGAAGTACAGACATAATATAGGAACACATTGCTTTAATCCTAGGTCTGTTGGAGCATAATCAAATTTATGTTAATGGAAGATTAATATAGAATATATTTTTTCAAGAGCTGAAATTAAGGTAATGCTGTTGGTCTAGCTTATCACATTGTGATGTGTCTGAAGATTTAGGAAATTATTAAGATGAATAAAAATTGTATGGACTTACAGGGGTATCTGTATTCATAGCAGCATGTAATTTCCTGTTCTCTCCTTTTAGTTTCTAATTAGCAAACCTGAATGCTTGGTTCCTTTTAGTTTCTAATTAGCAAACCTGAATGCTTGGTTAAGCCAAACAGCAGAGTTGGAGAGACGTTCCAGTGTAATACCTGGAAGAGAAGGACATGGTCAGGGCAAATTTAGTCTCAAGAATGAAAGTTTTTTGTTGTTGTTTTGTTTTGTTTTTCCAACTATTAGGAAAAATTTCCCTTTTCAGAAATTAGGAGCTCACTGTAAGATGGATTTATACAAAATTTTAGAAATAAGTTATCCCTGGTGTAGAGTAAGCCAAACAGATATTTGGATAAGTTGAAAAGATTGCTATCCAGGCAAAGAGCTACAATGCTCTGGGGAAAGTCAAAGAACCAGAGCAAAGGAAGATCTCTGTCATTCAACATAAATATTTTGAGCAGAGTCTGGTGTGGTTCAAAAGCCCATAAACAAATAAATATAGTGTTGTAATTGTGGACTGGCATAAAGTAGTCAACCAGCTCTTTGGAGAGGTTAAATAGATTTTCTAAAGGTGACATTTGACTGATTCTTTTTTTTTTTTTTTGGTCTTCTTTTTGGACTGATTCTTACTTAAGTAGGTAAATATTTACTAAGCATGGTGCGTGCCTGCAATCCTAGCTACTTGGGAGACTGAAATCAGGAGGATCATGATTCAAGACCAGCCCAGCAAATAATTTGAGAGATCCCCCATCTTCAAAATGACCAGAACAAAATGGACTGGATGTGTGGCTCAAGTGGTATAGCACCTGCTTTACAAGTGTGAAGCCCTGAGTTCAAATCCCAGTATCACCAAAAAAAATTGTTTGCCAGGCCAAGAAAAAACAAGACATTTCTAGGCAGAAGGAACAGAGTATGCAAAGGCCAGGAAGTATGAGACAAAGTGTCCTATGTTTTTTATTCCATGTCTTTCAAGACAAGATAGCAAATGCAGTTGTAGAATATGTTCAGCTACACTTGAAGGTGGCAAGCAGCTGGATCTCCGTTTGAGGGATATAAGCTGACGCTTGCAGGTTTCAAGTAGCTCCACGTCATACAGCATGAATCAGAGCTCAGGCACAGTGCTTAAAAACAGTAATGCTTAGTCTCATGCCCTGAGTAATTCTCTGTTGTAGTAATGGATTGAGGTGGACTCATGAGTATTTGGGGCTATTTTACTTTCTTGGAGCCAAATTATACTATCAAATTTGGCTTCTCTCTGTTTTCTATGCCACTTCACACCCTTTCTCTTGCAAATCTGTGGCCATGCCCTGAAAAATTGAGGAAATCCACGTGTTTTTATGCGTTGGTTATACAGACAGGAGCAAGCAATGAAACTGAAGCAGTCCCTTCCCCCTGGCTGGGTGCAGTGAAGGAACTAAAATGAATGAGATATAATGATTTGAACTGTATTAAATTCTTTTAGATTAAAAAATGAGGGAGGGGAGGGGGTAAGAAGGGGAGGGAGAGGGGGCAGGGGGAGAAATGACCCAAACAGTGTATGCACATCTGAATAAATGAATTTTTAAAAATTTCAAAGTTTTCAAAAAATGGTATTAAGTTATAATCTGAAAAAGGAAATATTACTTATAGAAATTAGTTTTAATTTAAGATTTCAACTACAATTAAATATAAATATTGGGCTGGAGGCATGGCTCAAGCTGTAGAGCACCTGCTTAGCAAGTGTGAAGCCCTGAGTTCAAACCTGAGTACCATCAAAAAGTAAATAAATAAATAAATAAATAAATAACAATATGTCCAAACACAAAATACATACAAAATCTCAAAAAACAAAAACAAACAAACAAAATATATAAAGGAATAGAATTACAAAAGTGATAAGAGAAAATCAAATGAATAAGTATATAACCTTGGGGTAAGGAAGACTGTTCTAAGTTTAATGCCAAAGGTAGAAAAAAAAAAAAAAATGAAACTGGAGGCTGTGGCTCTGTAGCAGAACATGTGCTTAGTACATGCGAGGCCCTGGGTTCAAGCTCCAGTACCCACCACCCCCCAAAAAAAAAAAAAAAAAAAGGAATCAACCAGGTGCTACTCAGGAGGCAGAGATCAGGAAGATCGAGGTTCAGAGCCAGCCCAGGCAAATAGTTCATGAGACCCTATCTCGAAAAACCCTTCACTAAAGTAGGGCTGGTGGAGTGGCTGAAGGTGTAGGCCCTGAGTCCAAGCCCTGATACCGGAAAAAAAACAAAACAATACAGGAATCATAATGAATTACTCATACCATGTGAGTTGAGGTAGGGATGGATCATGAAGTATGTTCCAGGCCTCCTGATTGGTAGTTTTAATTTGTTTAGAACTTGGCTTATTATTTTTTTGAGGTCATCTACTACCTTTCTAATTAACAAAATAACAAGTCATTTTCTTCAGAGATACATTGTTTATCTTTAGTAGCTATTTTGTAGCTGGATGAGGTAAAACTCAGAACTGGTACAGGATATGAATCATTTGCATTCACACTGACCTGTTCTCACTTTGTTCATTCTTAGAATTTTAATGAAGTCTGTTATATGACATAGGAAATATGTTGTCATTTATATTTTCAGTATCATTCCCAAATTTACGATAAACCTGAGAACTTTAGTTACTATTATGAATATACATTCAAATAAACAAACTATAGAGTAAATCCAAGAAAACCTTATTAACCATTTGCATAAGTTGTTTGAGGTGTTTAGATACTGGGAAAGAGTATGGACTAGGGACACAAAGCACAGATGGCAATAGCTAAGTCTGCAAGCATTGATCTGTTTAAAATTATGTGGGAAACTTTCACAACTTTAAAATTTAAATTTACTTCTTAAATTTTAATCTAATTAATTGATTGACTTTTCCAGTCTGGGAATCGAACCAAGGACCTTACACATGTTAGGCAGGTGTTCTACTGCTGAGCTATATCCATAACTCTTTAATCTTACTTTAAACAAGTGTCTATTTGTTAAGGCATCTGAGCATTTAGCTGACATATTTAGAATTAATCAGAATGACTAATAGTTGTAAATATATTGGATTATTTAATGAGACACTAATTCTTGGTAAATGAATAGGAATTACAAGAAATATTTGATGCTAATGCCGACAAATTCTGAATTTCATGTCTATAAACTAAGAATTTATGTCAGTAGAGAGAAAGATCTGACCTTATGCTATATTAATAAAAGAAGTGGGTACTATTCTTAGGTTTTGGAGGCTATCAAGAAAGAAAATATTAAAAGGTATAGAATTAAATTGGGAAAGAAAAGAAAAAGCATAGAAAGGTAAAATGAGCTTGCAGTAGAAGCTAACCATAGCACATGTAGGGCTTCTATCTCTCAAGCTGTGGTCAGACCAGCTCTACTGTAGAACTTAAGATGAAAAGTTTACTTGCCTAGTTTTTGCTATAGTTTTTTATTTTACAACTGTTCTTTCCCTTCTTGTAAACAAATTCTGATGTCTCTAAATATATCAAGCCATTGAAAGGAAATTGTTTTGTACTCTATTACTTATGAAATTGGCTGTGGGCAAACTTCACCTAAAGCAGCTTAAACTATGACTGGATAAATGCTAGGAATTCTAGCTGAATATCATATTTTCCTCCATTTTTTTCAGGAAATAAACTATTTTTGATTTTGGAATATCAAGAAGAAATCCAGCTGGGCGCTGGTGGCTCACGTCTATAATCCTAGCTACTTGGGAGGCTGAAGTGGGGAGGATCAATGTTGGAGGCCAGCCTAGGCAAATAGTTCAGGAGAACTCCCCCACCCATCTCCAAAATAACCACAGCAAAATGTACTGGAGGTGTGGCTCAAGCGATAGAGCACCTTCTTTGCAGATGTGCAGCCTTGGGTTCAAACCCCAGTCCCACCAAAAAAAAAAAAAAAGAAATCTACTTTTTTACACAGAATCTATTATCTAATTGGTCAGGCTTGAGGGGTGTGTGTGTGTGTTCTTTCCATCATATGTGGTAATGCCAAACAGCATTAGCTGTCTTGGTTAGGTCATTCTTAACTTACTGTCATCTCTTGCTGTTTCCTTACCCAGTTATGCTGTTATTGCCTATGGCTGTGCCAGCTGCCCAAAGCTAACCTGTGAGAGAGAAGGCTGCCAGACTGAGTTCTGCTACCACTGCAAGCAGATATGGCATCCAAATCAGACCTGCGATATGGCCCGTCAGCAGAGGGCACAGACTTTACGAGTTCGGACCAAGCACACTTCAGGTCTCAGTTATGGGCAAGAATCTGGACCAGGTATAAGTCAGTATTATCTCATGTTCTCTCTGTCTCTCTGTCTCTCTCTCTCTCTGTCTCTCTCTCTCGTTTTCTTTCTTTCTTTCTTTCTTTTTTTTAGGTGGTACTGGAGTTTGAACTCAGGACTTTGTGCTTGCTAGGCAGGCATTCTGTCACTTAGCCACACCTCCAGCCCTTTTGCTCTGGTTATTTTTGACGTTTTTTTTTTTTGGCCACACTGGGGTTTGAACTCAGGACCTCTTGCTTGCTAGGAAGGCACTCTACCACTGAAGCCACTTCATCAGCTGCTCTGGTTACTTTTGAGATACATTCTCACTTTTTTGCCCTGGCCAGCTTGGACTGCAATCCTATGTTATGCTTCCCACCATAGTTGAGAAAATAGGCATGCACCATGATGCCTAGCTTTTTCTGTTGAGATCAGGTCTCCCAAACTTTTTTGCCTGGGCTGACCTCAAACCATGATCCTCCCAATCTCAGCCTCTCCCAAGTAGCTAGGATTATAGATGTGAGCCATTGGCACCTAGCTTATTGTGTCTATTTATTATGCTGGCCCCAGACTGAAAGAGGTTATTTTACTGCATCCCTTAGATCAGAAAGTAGATTAGAGATTGATTGGTTATACTATTTTTTTTTCCTGAGATGAGATCTTGCTGTTGCCAGGCTGGCCTTGAACTTCTGGACTCAAATGATCCTCCTGCCTCAGCCTTCTGAGAAGCTGGGACTACAGGCACATGCCACAGAGCTTGGCTTGGTTATATTTCCAATAACATATTATATATATATATAGCTTCTCTCTGATATTTGTAGGTTATTCCAGCCATTTTGTGCAATACAACTAGATTGAACTCTCACATTTCTTTCTTCTTAGTATAATGTCTCAGATTGGAGAACAATTAGGTTCTTTTACTTACTAGGAGCTTTTTTAATACTTTCATTGTGAGCATTTAATTAGTGCTAAACCAGTACTGTTTTCCCTCTAGCTTTAAGTGAATCACTGCTTTTGGAGGTAAGGTACAGATTTAAGGAAAGGAAATAATACTAGTATGGATTAATAATTAACCTCAAAAGGAAGGATGTCATACATTCAGTTTCAACCTTGATGGTTAAGTGTAAACCTATTTTAAAATGTCAATGGATTTATTGCCTTTTATAAATGTATTTTATTTCACTGATGTCATTTGGGAGAGGCTAGTAGGAAAGATTTTGCCATTCATTTTTTCCTGGCACAGTATAATCTCCTAAATTGTCATTTTAATAGGATAGTTTATAACTTGCTATGAAAATTACAAAGTACATACTATATAGTGTACCCAGTTGTTTTTAGATTTTTGAATTTGAAAGTACCATGGGAAGGTATTGTAGGTTGTGTTAAGAGCAAAACACAATAATACTTATTGAGCCTAAAAAATTAGTTTCTTAACTAACAGTTATCAAAACTCAAAGCCAATTCCATGATGCAGACTATTCTTGCTGTAGGACTCTGCTTTTAATCTCTCAGCCTATTGGCTGATGGAAATTCCATTTTTCTTGGATCCATCATTCTCTCTAGTAAAGTCTGGTTGTTCAGAATGTGTTTTTCATGTGCTGTATAAGATGCCAGTTGTTGGGATAGGCAGCTCAATAAGAAATGGATCCATTTTATGAAAATTCCTGCGGTCTAGACATAGTGAAATTTTCTAGGAAAGTGTGTTACACAATTTGGAATTCTTGGTCAAGAGCTCTTGACTGCCTGTTGTTCATTTCTTAGGAAAAGCACAGTCAAACTAGGTTTAACTGGGAGTATTTCTTACCCATTCTTCCTTCCCCGCTTAGCAGATGACATCAAGCCGTGCCCACGATGCAGTGCTTACATTATCAAGATGAATGATGGAAGCTGTAATCACATGACCTGTGCAGTGTGTGGCTGTGAATTCTGCTGGCTTTGTATGAAAGAGATCTCAGACTTGCATTACCTCAGGTATGATAAAAAATATGTCTATTGCTTTTGTACTCTTTTTCTCTTACTCATTTAGGGAAAAGGATGTCAAAGAGACATAGCTGACCTCATTGCAAAGTAAGGAAGCTGTAAAAATGTCCTCTGAAATGCTCCTTTGATCATGTTTTTTCCAGCTCAGCAACCTCCAGGGACTGTCTTCATTTATCATATATCATGTCTATGTCATGTGTTCCCCCAGCATGACTTTTAAAGCTTTCCATAGTGTGGCCCTAATCTACTTTACTGTCATGCTATGTTCTAGGTAATCTGGGCTTGCTGTTCCCTCTGTCATCTTATTTTTTTAACTCAGGGCCTTCAGATTGCTAGGCAGGTACTTTACCACATGGGCTACACCCCCAACCCTTTCTACTCCTAGTTTTTGTTTTTGGAATAGTATCTTGCTTTTTCCTTGGTGGCCCTGGGGTTTGAATTCAGGACCTCATGCTTGCTAGGCAGGTGCTCTTACCACTTGAGCCACTCCACCAGCCCTTTTTTTGTAAGGGTTTTTTCGAGATAGGGTCTCAGGAACTATTTGCTCTGGGATGGCTTCAAACTGCAATCATCCTGATCTCTGCATCCTGGGTAGCTGGGATTACAGGCGTGAGCCTCTGGCACCCAGCAGGATCTCATATTTTTTCCTAGGCCATCCTGTACTGCAATCTTTCTATTTATGCTTCCCATGTAGCTGGTGGGATGACCCAACCATGTCCACCTTATTTGTTGAGATGGATCTTGCTTTTACCTGGGATGGCCTCGAACTGAGATCCTCCTGATCTCCATCTCCTGAGTAGCTAGGATTGTAATTGTGAACTACCACACCCAGCCCCTGTGTCTTTTTTGGGGGGAGTGACTAGGCCTGTGTCTTTCTTGCCTCTCCATACTTGTTTGTGTTCTTTTCTTTGCCTGAAATGCTTCCTAATCACCTCAGCCTCCCAGTATCCTCCTTTGATCTCAGCTGGTTTTTTGTTTTTGTTTTTGTTTCCCTCCTCCCTCACTTTTTTTGTTCCCTCTCTTTTTGAGATAGGGTCTCACTATGTAGCCCAGGCTGGTCTCAAACTTATGATTCTACTGCCACCTCAGTCTCCTGAGTGCTGGGATTATAAGCATGTACCACCATGCCTGACTTGTTCTGTCATCACTACTTTGTATTTCATGTACATATCTAATCTTACTAAACAGTGACTTTTTTTTTTTTTTTGGCAGCACTGGGGTTTGAACTCAAGGCTTCATGCTTGTTATTCTAGACAGGTGCTCTACTACTTGAGCCACTCCACCAGACCTTTATTGTGTTGGGTTTTTTTCAAGAAGGGGTCTCATGACTATTTGCCCAGACTGGCTTTGAACCACAATCCTCCTGATCTCTGCCTCCTGAGTAGTTAGGATATAGGTGTGAGCCACTGGTGCCCAGCACTAAACTGTGACCTTTTTACAGTTTCTTGCATGTAGTCAGTTTCCAAAGAATTGAGTAAATTTTAAAATATTGTTGTTGAATATTTACCAACTTCATTGTGTAGATGAAACACTTATTTCCAATTTAATGAACATTTTAGTATTTACATGTAACAGTCACTGATTGAGGGGGGGACACTGGGGTGAATAAGACATGATTCCTATTTTCAAAATTGCTTATTCTGTGAAGTAGAGAAGATAGCATAAAGGGAATAAGGGAAAAGGGATTGGGCACAAAAGGGCTAATGTCAGAGCAGCCAAACTCAGAGTTGCAAACTGACATGAAGGATGCAATGAAGTCTTTTTATATCTTTTCCCAAGAACATGATTTGTAGTATCTCAAGTGTGGTAAGATGATCAGCATGTTGATTAGCTGCAGGACACGTGCATTTGGATGAGTTGATCAAGTGCACAGGCTATGTAAGATCCCAAGTAGTGTCAGTCAAGAAAGTTGGATCAATGTTGGTAGAACAGAATTCAGCAGAGAAAAAGGAAAAGGAATTTCAGTCCCGGAGGCCTGCCTTTACAAAACAACAACAAAAAACGTTAAGAGCCCAGAGTTCTAATGGATTGACCTTGTCCTTTGCTGTCCTTGTGTAGTATATTTATTTCCTAAAACCTCCAGTAACTTAATCACTTCTGTTGAAAAGAAGGCTGTGTCTCTTATCAAGCTCTCTGGTAACATTGACATTAACTTCAACATGTTTCCTTTGTAGCCCCTCTGGCTGTACATTCTGGGGCAAGAAGCCATGGAGCCGTAAGAAGAAAATTCTGTGGCAGCTGGGCACATTGATTGGTGCTCCTGTGGGGATTTCTCTTATTGCTGGCATTGCCATTCCTGCCATGGTCATTGGCATTCCTGTTTATGTCGGAAGGAAGGTAAGACATGCTGTGTCTGTTCCAGCTTTAGGTTTGTTAGCAAAGGTTTGAAGGAAATAGGAAGGAGTTTATATTTCAGAGCTGCCTGAAAACCAGCTGGTTCATAGATAAAAATAACTTTAATTTCTTAAATGGATTTTTATAAACCCTCATGAGATCTGAAAGTTCTTATTAACATCCTGGGCCTGACTTGTCTCAATGACTTAAAGGTGAAATGCTTAACTTCATTCCCCTGAGTTATTTTGTCTCTTCCTGGATTAACTTTCTGTTTTAGTTTATATTTTCAAGGTCTAAGTTAGGTTAAAATTTGAGAAAGATACTTCTTTAGGGTAGAGAGTATTAGATAAACTTGTAAGTGAATATTCAAGTGTCCTTTTTTCTCCTGATAAAATACCAATGTCCTAATCTGCTGACCTGGATTTTCTTTTTATTTTTAGATTCACAGCAGGTATGAAGGAAGGAAAACCTCCAAACACAAGAGGAATTTGGCCATCACAGGAGGAGTGACTTTGTCAGTCATTGCATCCCCAGTGATTGCTGCTGTTAGTGTTGGTAAGCTAGTCAGATTCACAGGTCCTCTACTAGCTTTCTGACCATAGCAGTTTAGCCAGCTGGCCAGGTGTTTTATCCTAGCAATGGCTATGCTTTATGTCATACCCACCTTGCTAGTTAATTCCAGTAGCTCTGTTACCATGATTACTTCTCAGCTTTTCACCTAATTAAATTATCAGTGTATGTCTTAGACAACTCTAGCACAGAGAAAAGGTTGAATTAAAGAAATTACTTTTAAACCACCTACCAGTGGCTCACACCTAGCTATTTAGGAGACTGCAATCGAGAAGATGGAGATTCGAGGCCAACCCAAGCAAATAGTTCATGAGACATATCTCCAAAATAACAAAATTATAGAGCAAAAATGGACTATAGATGTGGCTCAAGTGGTAGAGTACCTGCTTTGTAAGCACAAAATCCTGAGTTCAAACCCCAGACCCACAAAAAAAAAAAAACCTTCAAGTGCTAGTTTTTCACTTTTTATCTTCCTCTTTCTCTACTTGCTATAGGACTCACAAAATAAAGTCACTTTCATTTTTGATTTATTAGTGCCTCACAATTTTTTGGGAGGCATGAGGGTTTGTTTTACAAAAATATGTAACTAACTTTTCATTAGCTTTTCCATGATTGAGTGTTTCATATATATCTTCAATTTGATTAAAAGCAGCTATAGTGTAGTGGAGACAATAGTGGACCAGGATCAGAGTTGTAGTTTAGTGTGACTAACATTGACCTTGGACAAGTAATTTAATTTTAAATTCATGTCACTTTGCTAAGACATGAAACAAGGCATTCTGACTTCAGATTCTGTGCTTTTTTAACAACTAAGTCATTCTGCCTCCCATAGCAGTATGATTTTTGGAATTAACACTCTGGGAAGAATCCTAAACCCCAGTTAGTCACTTATTTAATGTTTGATTCTCAGTTGGCCTTACTGGAGTCTGAACAGGGCCCTGTGCTTTTTCAGGCGCTCTACCACTTGAGCCATGCCCGCAGCCCTTTTTGCTTTAGTTGTCTTTTTAATAGGCTCTCAAGTTTTTGCTCAGGCCAGCCTGGACCAGGATGCTCCCATAGATGGGATCATGTGCCTCCACTCCTAGCTTATTGGTTGAGATGGAGTGTCTCTAACTTTTTACCAAGGCTGCCCTTGAATTGTAGTCTTCCCCATCACTACCTCCTAAGTAGCTGGGATTATAGGTGTGTACCATCATACTCAGCAACGTTTGATTCTTGATTGGTTCTTGGGTTAACACTTCAGCAGTGAATAGGAAGGGAAAACAAAAGCAACATACATTCACTATGTTGGACACTATGAACATTCTTATTAACCCTGAGAGGATTCCACAATCAGATAGCCGGTAAAATGGTGCCAGGATTCTGATCCAAAACTCTCAGATTGCAAGTCTGGTCATCATTCTGTCATATCAGGCAGCCTTTTTAGGATAGCCCTCTCTGCCCCGTATAAAGTAGTTTATCCTTGCTCAGTCTGGCAAGGAGAATTTAGGGCAATTGCAGTCTGATGGCCTGATGACATGTTTCTTTCTCTTTCCCCTAGGTATTGGCGTCCCCATTATGCTGGCATACGTCTATGGGGTTGTGCCCATTTCTCTCTGTCGTGGAGGTGGCTGTGGAGTTAGCACAGCCAATGGAAAGGGAGTAAAAATTGAGTTTGATGAAGATGATGGTCCAATCACAGGTAAAGGAATTTTATTTCATTTGAATTTATGGGACACAAGATAAAATCTGTAAAATTTCAGCACATTTTACAGACATTGTCATTGGATTACTTTGGATAATGAGGTTTCTAAGGGGTAAAGTATTTTTAGCTTTTCATTTTTTTGTTCTAGAATTATTAGGTTAATTCCTCTGGTGCTTGCCTCTGTGTGACAGGTACAGACTAGTAGGATTCCAAGTAACTACAAGTATGCTATTGGTAGAAGTCATTATAATAAAGCCTTATAGCTACACAGTACTTTATAATTTTCAGAGGACTTTACACAGTTATTATCTCACTTGTTTTTTATAGCAACTCTGAAGAGGGAGGGCAGGGGCTATTATTATCCCCATTTACATGGGAACTTGTGTAAGCTTTATTTCAGTGTCTGTTAAGAGCTTCTGCAGAACTGGGACTAGAGCAAGTCCTCTGACTTCTGCTGAAACTTGTTTTCATTTTATCCTCTAATTAACCTGGAACACAGAGATCCCCAAAAGTTTTTCAAGCTTCCTACTAGAATCTGCATATAACTAAACATATTTTGAACTCTTCAGTTTAAGCTGGGTGTGGTGGCATGTGCCAGTAATCCTAGCACTGAGGAGGCTGAGGCAGGAGGATCATGAGTTTGAGGCCAGTGTTTGCTATTCAGAAGGAAGGGAGGGAGGGAGGAAGGAAAGGTTGAGGGAGGGAGGAAGGAAAGGTTAAAGGAGGGATGGAGGAAAGGAGGAAATCTTCAAGTTTTTTTATAGTATTTGCATATAACCTACACACACCCTCCCATGTACATTATATTTTTTTTTTTTCTGCAGTACTAAGGTTTGAACTCAGGGCCTCACACTTGCTAAGCAGGTGCTCTACCACTTGAGCCACTCTGTCAGCCCTGTTTGGTATTGAGTTTTTTTGAGATAGGGTCTCAAGAACTATTTGCCTGGCTGGCTTCGAACCATGATCCTCCTGATCTCTGCCCCCTGAGTAGGTGAGATTACAGCCATGAGCCACTGGCACCTGGCAAATCTTCAGTATTGTAGTTTAGTGTGGCTAACAGTGACTTTGGACAAGTTTAGTTTTAAAGTCTAATTTCCTCATCTAAAATTGGGGCTAGTTACTAGGACAACTAAAGTACAAACATGTTAAAACACCTGCTATATGGTGGCTGCACATAGTAGCTATTGACTCAGTGAACACCTTAGTGCTTTTCAGCATCCTCCACGATTGAGAGTCATTGCAGAAAAATGCCTACCAGACTGTTTTGATGCTATGCTGTCTCAAACTGAGATGTTTGGTTCCACCAACAGTGGCAGATGCCTGGCGAGCCCTCAAGAATCCTAGCATTGGGGAAAGCAGCATCGAAGGCCTAACTAGTGTGTTGAGCACAAGTGGAAGCCCCACAGATGGACTCAGTGTTATGCAAGGCCCTTACAGTGAAACAGCCAGCTTTGCAGCCCTCTCAGGGGGCACATTGAGTGGTGGCATTCTCTCTAGTAGCAAGGGAAAATACAGCAGGTAAGCAAGTAGACAATTTCACATTTAGCCATTTCTCTGCATCAGATGTGTCTCATGTATCATCTCACTTTTATGTAATCATGAATGGTATTTTTCTTCACTTCTAGCTAAGTTCAGAGTTCTTTCCACTGTTCCATAGCTGTTTCCATATAAAGAATAATCTTGACTTCGGTTCCTCCCTCTGCTACATTAGGCTGCCTGCTCCTGGGAAGAGCAGGCAGTGCTCTCCATTAGACTTTCATCTGAACAGCATTTATGCTGTATCTTATTGGTTTACATGTACCATGATCCTTATAACCTTCCTATTCTCATTGGGTAGATAGGAAAATCAGTTCTATGAATTTGTATAGAAATACATAAAGCTTTATAACTAAAAAGATTGTGACTTGCTTGGTCATTTCACCAGTTAGACAAACCAAAGTGTATATTCAGAGAAGCTTAACAGATGCTAAGACGAGAAGCAGTTGACCTCAGTGGAAGAGAGCAGCCTGTGAAGGAGCACAGGTAGAGCAAAGCAGGGTAGGCAGGTAGGGGAGATGTTTGCCTCCTGACATCCAAAGGGCTTGGAAAAGGATTAGTCTCCTATGACTCATGCCAAATGGAAGATTAAAATGACTAGACAGGCCTGGCAGATGGCTGAAATAGTAGAATGCCTGCCTAGCAAGTGTGAAGACGTGAGTTCAAACCCCAGTACCGCACAAAAAATAAATAAAAATAAAATAAAGTGACCAGGCAAAAGCTAGAGGGAAACTGTTTTTGATGCAGTATAGAGAATATATGGGGAAAGCTGTATAAGAGCCCAAAGAAGGAACAGACTACCTTCACAGATATTGAGCTGCTTATCATGGGAAGTGTTTAAAGTGAAACCAGATGGATATTTGGCTATTGAAAGGATTCAAGCAACAGATGGCAGGTGGACTGTATCCCACACCTTGATGGCTGTTGTTCACCTGGAGCCTCTTAAAATAGATTTGAGGGGTCCATTTCTAGAATTAATAACTTAGAATCTCCTGGAGTGGGACCTACAGGTGGTCTATGTTTAGAAAAAGCTCCCAGGTGTTTGTAGTATAGCCATTGCATGACCCATCATCTGGGAACCCCTAAATATGTGGCCTTTAGAAAGGCATTGGTCACCAAGGGTGATCCTATGGCAAATGTAGAGCTAGAACCCAGATCTCTCACTGGGCATACCTTCTTTTTCCCTTGCATCTCCCTCATTTTGCTGGGCCTTGGCACAGTCTCCTCCTCCTGTTCCTCCTCCTCCTCTTTCACTTCCTCTTCCCCCTCCTCTTCTTCTTCAATGATTCTTTTTTATTTTTTACTGTTATTTATTTATTTTGTGGAAATAGGAATTGAAATCAGGGCCTCCAGCATTGCTAGGCAAACACTGTCCTCCTTGAGCCATGCCCCTGGCCCTTGGCACATTCTTGAATGATATCAGGTGGAACAGCAGAGCAAAGGCACAGATGGCAGGATGGAGACTGCTGCTGACCTGTCTGTGCCTCCTAGCTGCTGTCTCTTGTCAGGGGATCCCGCCCCCACATACTGGAGTTTTCACTGCCATGCTCTCTTAAAGCCAACTCCCCTTAAATGAGCCAACAGACATAATTAGAGAGTGACTTGCTGAAACTGCAGCTTAGCCAGTCCAGCTGTTCCAGTTCTGTGAAAGCCTTTCTTTTATAGGAAGTGAATGAGTCAGATGGGTTTGACTGTGAAACCCATTATGAGGAAATACTGAAGTGTGCAACAAAATGGTATTGGAGCCAAGAAAGGAAATAGTTATGGGTTCTCAGCTCTGAGACATCATTGGGAAAGTGCTGCTGTACAAGGAGGGAGGAGGTTGGCTCCTATGTGTCCTTCAATCTTATAGTCTAGAGGTAATTTGATTGTTACATGTTTGAGTTCTTCCTATTAATGTGTAAGGGCCAGAAAGATAAAGTGTGAATGAATGAGATGGGATCTTTCCTTTTGTGGAGCTCACAGAAGAGTGGGAGAAAGGTGTATAATAAAACAGCCCTTAGTTGAAAATAACTGGTTTGCTGGGAGAATGAGGTGAAATGACACTTCCTTTGTTGTTAAGGACTGAGTATAAGTTTGTCAGATAAAGGAAACTTCCAGAGAGAGAAAACAGTATGAGCAGAGTCATGGAGATATAAAATGTAAATTCAGAGTGATTGATTTAGGACCTTCAGTGAAAAACGGAGCTGGAGAGAGAGCTTCCTGGCACATCAGAAGACCGTAATGCCTGTTGGCAGGAGGGAGACAAGAGTTAGAGAATTGCTAGAGTGAATGGATCTATCTGTATACATTGACGCTGACCTGGAGGTTGTTTAGTTGGACTTGGACTTCTGGAGAGGGAGCCCAGTGGTAATTATCCAGACAACAGATGTTGAGGGCCTGAAGTTAAGCAATAGCAGTGGGACTAGAAAGGAGGGGACAATTTCAGGAGAAATTTAAGAGAAAAAATGTGTGGGCATATATTTGAGTTGTTTGACAATTGGAGATGATCAGATAGATCGTCACAATTTGCGAGAGAATAATGGAAGGGATGTGTGCCAGGAAGCAGGCTGTCTCAGAATACACAGGTCTCATATTAACTTGAACGTCCCATCTTTACACAGGTTAGAAGTCCAAGCCGATGTCCAAAAGGAAATTTTCCCCAAAGATACAGCCAGTCTTGGTGCAATTAGTGACAACGCAAGCACTCGTGCTATGGCCGGTTCCATAATCAGTTCCTACAACCCACAGGACAGGTATGTGAAAGTCAGATGCCCAGGAGAAGTTGTGTTGTTTGATTGGATACTAGGTCTTCAGAAGTTCAGTGTCTCACGTTAGGGCTCTTATGTACCTTCTAGTGGGGTGTATAGTAGGATGTCCTATGATTTGTTGAGCAAGTTCTTAGTACTGGTATATGCATCATCTCTTGATTCTTCTTGTTACCACTTTACATTTATGTTTAGAGATTCTCCTTCTCTCTCTCTCTGTCTCTCTTCCTCCCCTCCCCCACATTATCCCTCTTCTTTCCCTCTCACCTTTTTGTCTTTTTCTTAGCTATTGTAACAGTGTGTAATACTCAAGATTACTCGCAAAGAACTTAAAGAGCTAGATTGATATCACCATATCTTGAGTCCATAGTGTTTCTGCTTGCCTTTTGCCTTCATATGGTTCCCATAGCTTGTTTCTTGCATGGTGTGATTACGGTACTCCTTACTGCAGGGATTCTGGCGGCTTTTAATTATGGAAGAGTAGTAAAAAGCTACAAATCTTTCACTTTCATATTTTGAGTAAGACAGTGGGAGGCTCTGACCCTTAGTTGAATTTTGAAGCTCCTTTTAGATGTTTAGAAAAGATTTAGGCTAGCCAGGCACCTGTGGCTCACACCTGTAATGCTAGCTACTCAGGAGGCAGAGATCAGGAGGATCGTGGTTCGAAGCCAGCACGGAAAATAGTTTGTGAGACCCTATCTTGAAAAACCCATCACAAAAATGGGCTGGCAGAGTGGATCAAGGTGTAAGCCCAGAGTTCAAACCACAGTAGCACAAAAAAAAAAAAGATTTGGCCTGGTGGAGTGGCTCAAGTGGTAGAGTGCCTGTCTAGCAAGCATGAGACCCTGAGTTCAAACCCCAGTACCACAAAAAAAGAAAACCTGAAAAGAGAGAGAGAGAGAGAGAGAGAGAGAGAGAGAGAGAGAGTGTGTGTGTGTGTGTGTGTGTGTAGCAAAAAATGAGCTCTAGTCCACTGTTTACATATCTTTTTCAACTTCCTAATCCTGAACCCAAAAACTGCTTTTACCAACAGGTATAGCATGACCTATGCATGACTCAGCACAGTGGATTTTGTCTCCACAGAGAATGCAACAATATGGAAATCCAAGTGGACATTGAAGCCAAACCAAGCCACTATCAGCTGGTGAGTGGAAGCAGCACAGAGGACTCACTCCATGTCCATGCTCAGATGGCAGAAAATGAAGAAGAAGGTAGTGGTGGTGCTGGCGGCAGTGAAGAAGATCCCCCCTGCAAACACCAAAGCTGTGAACAGAAAGACTGCCTGGCCAGCAAAGCTTGGGACATCAGCCTGGCCCAGCCTGAGAGCATTCGCAGTGACCTGGAGAGCTCTGACACACAGTCAGACGATGTGCCAGACATCACCTCAGATGAGTGTGGCTCCCCCTGCTCCCATACTACAGCCTGCCCCCCAACCCCCAGAGCCCAAGGTGCACCGAGCCCAAGTGCCCATATGAACCTCTCTTCCCCAGCTGAGGGACAGACTGTATTGAAGCCAGAAGGTGCAGAAGCCAGAGTATGAAGTGGAATGAATGCTCCTGTTCTGAGAAGCACACTTGTAACTGCATCTTTTGGAATCTTTTTTTTTTTGGGGGGGAAGGAAGGGCTGGGGAGGGGGGTGGATTTATGTACTTTGTTTCAAAGATTCTCTGGTCAGGTTTTCCGCAGGGAAGTTCTGAGAAATTTGCAATTTCTTACCAGATAAAACATGAAAAATTTACCCTTAAGTCTCCCTCCCCTTGCCCCTACCCCCCATTTTTAGTTTTAATTTATTGGTTAAACTGATGTTGGCAATCCGTGAGGTGTGTCAAAGAGTGTACATATGTATGTGTGTATATTGTATGTATGCTAACATATTATTGAAGGACACATTTTAATAAAGATTTCTGTTGCAATTCACCTCATTTCATTTTCCTTGGCTTGAATAGTCCTGCAGAGCTAAGTGTTTGATTGGAACAGACATTCCATACTTGATAGTGTCTAGACCCCAAAGAAGGATGGTATTCAGATCTGACTGCCGGGCAGTCATCTATAAACTAGTGACTCTCTTAGCATGCCAGGAAGCAAAGCTAGACTTACTTTGAACTGTATAATCATACTGAATGAATTACTAGCTGAGTCAATTGGATAGGGAAGCAGGAGATTCAAGCAGACTTTGTTTGCTCTCTAGAGGCAACTGTGCAGTTTCCCATTAAAGCTTTACTTACCCTGTTCTCCATTATAGTCACTGTTAGTCCCATGCTTCAGAAGACGGAAGAGGTGGCAATTCCAGTAGCTCTTAAGAGACATCTCTGTGAATGTTCCAGGGTTTCAAGTTGGGGAACACAGTTTTTCTGTTTTGTTTTGTGGTGCTGGGAATTGAACCAAGGGCCTTGTGCATGTATACAGGTGCTTTACCACTGAGTTACATCTCCAAGCCTGGGAACAGAGTGTTTGGAGGAAGAGATGTTCTGATTCTGCATGGTCATCAGGCAATAGTGTAGGTGTTTGCTATACTCCAGGTACCTATTCCCTCTTTGAAAAATCTTTCTTAGTTTTGGCAATCTAGTTTAAGTATGAGGGACTAAGAAATGTGACACTTGCAATGAAGGGAAAAAAGAAATGCCATCAAAATTTCAACATACCTAATTTAACCCAACCTTACAAATTCATCAGAATTGAACTTGGTTAGTACTAGGGATTTCGGCACTGTCAAGAACAATGTCCTTAGGAATGAAAGCTCAGATGCAGAATAGCAGGAAAACAAAAGGTTCATGAGACTGCAAGATTCCAAATCTGATAGTAACTCACTTTGTGGTGGTATGAGAGTTACTCTCTCACGTCCCCAATTTGCCCAACTTTCAGATGGTATTTAAGGAGCTTCCAGTGCCATACTTCTCTATCACCCTAGCCCTGGGCCCAGAGGAAGAATTGAAAGCATCTTTCCCTAAGGACCAGCTGGCTTTCTGTTTATTTTTACAGATGCACCTGCTCTTCACCTTCCTGGCCTGTGTTTTACTACAATGAGGATGAGGAACCTGGACAATAGCTAACATGGAAGATTATCTTTTGGGCATTGCAGTCTAACTTGCATTTCCTTGCACCTGGGACAGGAAATATTATTTGTGGACTTTGGGTCTCTGGAACAAAGTGCCCTAGAGGGTGTCCCTGTGACTAAAGAAACCAGTCTGGAGACCACTGAAATGCAAATTATCCACTCAAGATTTGCAATCCTCTTGAAGCCTCGTAAAGAGAACAATTAACTTGGTTAAAATCAAAGAAGTCTGTTGGAGGGGTGAAGTTTACAAACCAAACTTGTATTCCTTATCTGGGCTTCACTTAATGCTAATGGATCTGGGCAGCTTATTCTCTTGAGTCCATTTTTACTTGGCCAAAATGGGATAATATACCTAATTATGGGGTTGAAAGATTAAGTAAGATGTGTACTGAAAGTGCTTTTGGTAAAGGCCCATGTTTCTTTTCATCCTGTAGGAGTAAGAGCTAAGTTAAAGGAGATTTAGTTATCATCTAAAAAGGAAGCCCAGTATTCTAGAGCAGAGGCTAGGAAATACTTGTTTATTCTAATCTTTTGCAACATTACTTGCTGCCTGTCAGACTTTAGCAGGTGAAAAAGTCCATCAGCACCACCTGGAGGAGAACATGAGTAATGAGTACATTGGAAAAGTGTTGAAAAACTGGGGAAAATTTAAGTCTTCTTAGAGCATTAATTCATTTTGAAATGCTTACTGTGTTTCAGGTATGAAATGCAGCAGGAAGAAAATGCAAAATCCCTGTTCCTATGAAACTTACACTTTAGGGGGGAATGACAATCAGATATATAATCATGACGAGGATAGACATGTTGAGGAAAAAAGATAAAGAGAATAGTAGATGGTGCTGCTTTAGATGGGCAGAATGTTAGCTTTCTGTTACTGTGATAAAATACCTGAGATACTGAACTTATAAGGAGGAAAGGTCTGTTTTGGATCATGGTTTCAGTTCATGGTCCCTTGGACCATTTCCTTTGGGCCTGTGGTGGTGACATGGTGGGAGATCATAGCTGTTCACCTCACAATAGTCAGAACAAAGAGAAGAGGACTGTGGTCCCAATGTCCTCTTCAAAGGCACACCTATAGTGACCTAATCTCCTCCAAGTAGGCCCCATCTCTTAGAGATTCTACCACCTCCCAATAACACTACAGAGTGGTGACCAAGCCTTTGATACATGGGCCTTTAGGGATATTTCATATCTAAACTATAGCAGTCAGTATAGGCCTTTGATAAGGGGATATTTTACTAGAGTCTGAGTGCAGCAAGGAAGAGACTAGGGGCAGAGAACACTAGACATGAGGAATCGATCATAAAGACCCTTTGCGTTCAGAGTCCTTTTTTTTTTTTTAACAAGCCAGACACAGTAGGTCACACCTATAATTTCAGCTACTATGGAGGTGGAGATTGAAAGGATCACAGTTCAAAGCCATCCTTGGCAAAAAGCTAGACCCCATTTCAATCAATAAGCCAGGCATTGTGGCATGCACCTGTGATCCCAGCTACATGGGAGGCAGTAGGAAGGAGGATCAAGGTCTGAGGCTGGCCCCAGGCAAGAACTTGAGACCCTATCTGAAAAATAACTGAAGTAAAAAAAGTTGAGGATATGGGTCAAGTGATAGAGCACCTTCCCAGGAAGAGAGAGTTCGAATCCCAGTATGCACCCAGCCCCAGAAAAAAAAAAAGGTACAGTAGATTGGCCTGTATGGCCACAAAGTAGGCCAAGTCAGGGAAAGTAGGAGATTAGGTCAAGAGGCAGTTGGGGACAAGATTGTATAAACCAGCATAACTATGAATGAGGAAACTTGTTTTCTTTGAGGCCAAGAAGAGAAGTAACATTCAAAGCTAGACAGATGGGGTGCTTACACTATACTTTCAAAGGGGCTGAAACTGGAACAGGACATGTCTGGTCACCAGTCCAGACACAGGCCAATGGAAAGAAGCTTGTGGGCTTAGTAAATGGGTATTGTGCCCTAATGTGCCATCTTGTACTACAGAGGCTGGCAAGCTAAAAACTATGTCTTAGACTTCCTTGAAGTCAACACAGAATGTGTTGCCTATAGGCACAGAATTTGTGCCTAGTCGATACACAAATGAGATTTGAATGAAGGAAGTGATTCAGAGATTAGCTACTTTGGCTGTCACTCCTGCAAGCTGTGCAGACCATAGGATTCTCTTCAGTGGTGTTCCAAGGGCATCCTGATCTAGATAGCAAGGTTGCTGCTACAATCTCAAAATGTTGCAATCCTTAAGTCCCTCAGCTCAGACTCTACAGAAGCAAGAGGGTCTGACTCTAGCTACAGATCTGGAAGTAACAAGGAGTAGTGGGTAATAGTCAACCTGTGGTGGCCGTCTGGTCCCTGATGATGGTAGAGGTAGCAGGTCCCATTGTAAGCCAATTCTGGGAATCTCGTAGAAGCTCAGCCAACAGCCATCTTGCCTAGGCTTTTCAACTCTTTGTAACTACCTAATTTGCCTGTATTGAATCCTTTTCTATTTAAAATTGGTAGTTTTGTTTCCTGCCATTATTTTTGGTTCCAAAAGTGGCAACAGGCAACAAGCCCTCTTGTTGGTTTTGAAGGAAATGAGGATCTTGTTGCCTTTGGAAATGGTAAATGGGAAAGCAAAAGATGACATCAGTGGTCACCTGAAATGCAAGGTCTTTTGGAGGAAAGAGTGGCAGATTGATTAGCTGCCATGACAGAGCATCATGTAGGAGATGACTATAAAAATATGACTATGCTAGAGAAGTTAAAGTAAGAAAACTGAAAAGCTCAGGGAATGTAGAGAACCCCCAAAAGAGTTTTACCTCTGTGTCTATAAGGCTGCTGTATGTGAAAATCAGAGCTTTACCAGGCCTCTTATGTGAAAGAGAGGGCACTGCTTGGTAAAGTAGGATCCTGAAATGAGAAATGGGGATATTTGAGCAGATTCAGGTAATTTCTGGTGCTCTGAAGGTACTGTTTCCACCTAACTTCCCAACAGAAGCAACCCTGCTGGTTCTGTAGCTTGGAGACCCTGGTGCAGCTGCCTTGAGAGAGCATGCCAGTCCTCCCCATGCCCATTCTTGTTACTACCAGATCTGTGACTCCTGCCAGATCTCCCTTACTTATGAAGGCAGAGTCTGAGATAAGAGACTGAGGATTGCCTATTTGTATCAGCAGAAACCTGAAGAATGTGTGTGGACTAGATTCTAAAGTATTAAGCCAGGAAGAAAGGAACAGAAATTGTTTTGTTTTTGTTGAATTTATCAACATGGGCATACTAGAGATTGTGGAGTCATTATATTTACTGGCTTAGCATTTAAAAAGGGCCTTTAGCTGGGTGACAGATGAAACCTGAACTTAAGAGTGGTCCACTCAAAGAAATTGAAATGCCAAAAATTCCTTAGTGTAATTAGAAGAACCCAAAACATAAAGAAGTATTGATTGTAGACTTATCATATGTATGACCTTATCTCCTAATTTGCTTTCTAAGATTGCTTAGAGGTTATTCCTTTCCCCATGGAATTGTGAAGTACATAAATAAGGGAAACACTTTTTTTTTTTTCCAGTGGAGCAAAGGATCAAACCTAAGGCCTCCAGCATGGTAGGCAAATTCTTGATCACTAAGCTGCACCACTAGACTGCTTATCTTGACAAGTGTTATGGCAGAAGGCCTAAGTTCAAACCTGAGTACCACCAAAAAAAAAAAATCTCTGAAATGGGTCTCTGGATATTGGTAGGGATGATGGGATCCTGAAGTGACAAGGGCCAAGGGACAGTACCAGGACAATAAAGCTACAATATGGATAACTTGCTAATATCCTACTTGGTTTATATTACAAAACAAAACCTCTGATCTGACAAATAGAAACCTGTTTTGAGCCACC